CAGATACTGATTACTAGGCCTACAAGTCATACAAATACATAACAGAACATGCAGCGATAGTCTGTGGTCAATAGATACTGATTTAGTGTCTGGTCTTTCGCCATGTAACATTTATCTCATATCTATTGCCATCATTGATTCAGAAGCATTTAAACTGAAGGTTTTCCAGAAATACATTTGCAGAATGGCAAACTAAATGAAGTTTTCCAGTTTCAAACGTCCCCGGGGTGACAGATGTTGGATTTGCATTTATAAAAACTGAATTTCTCTTGACCTACAATAGACCAGTGACCTCTCCGGGGTGTTTCTCTGCATTATTCTCAATGCGTGCTGAAGTGAATAGACTTTTTTTTCTGTAGAGGACAGGAGAAAAACTGCTTTTTAAACAACTCAAGAATAATCTTTTTTGTCTAAGAATAATGTGTATTTTTTTCTTTGCACCAGAGCGAATGTGAAAAGAGCGCTAGGAGATGCTCAGAAATGTGACAAAAATGCAGAGTCCTTTGAAAAGAAGAAAGGTGAAAAAAAGTTTAAACACTATGACTTGGTCTCTAAGGATCACTGTGGGAGATGCCTTTTAATAAATCCGGTTTCCTGTCCGCATAAATATAAAAACAAACAATCAAACAAAATGATTGTTTATTTACTTTCACCCTCGTGGTGCTCATATGTGACTGACAAGGTCTTTTATGCCAGGAGATCTGAAGTCGATGGTGGAGGAAACTCTGTGCGTGACATTGCTTGAAGGGAGAGATTCTTCACAACATACTCGAGGAACTTTACCAGTGTGTATGCATGTACATTATATTGTATTATACTGTATTCTCAGTAAACATAATGTTTACTTACTGTGTAGGTGAGACTAAAGACAAATTGTCAGTTGCAGCAGTATGCCAAATCATGCACTATGTTATAATTACTTGAATAACAATTGTTTGAATATTTATCCTTATTGGGGAAAATAAAATGAATGAAAAAAAAAAATTTTTTTCACACAAAGATAGGTAAAAGACAAACCCATCAGTGCATCTGTATGTTACACAATCACCCATTTCACAAAGTACAGGTTATGACAGACTGTAAGTTGTAAGAATACTCACATTATCTTCGGTTCTGGTAAACTAAATAGTTTCTGTTTAGGCCCTTCAACCAACAAAAAGTTTATTAAGTAAGTAAGTAACTTTAATTTAGTACCCTAACATGTGGGATGTAATTTTTCCTGTCATCAAGGGTTTTATAGCGCATTAAGAGTTAGAGCCTCTAATCTTTGGAACAGTCTGCATATCTTGAAGCTAAATCTGAGATCTTAAATCCAAAAAAGTTTTTAAAATCCCCTTCAAATACCTTCCTTTTGGTGCACAGGTGGTGCAGGGTTAAAGTTCCCATCCAGCACCACAGAGGCCCAGGATACAATTCCTGTTACATTCAGATTGGTTTTGTGTTCCAACAAACTGGCCATGCTCCTGGTACTGGTTCATATCCTTGTAGCTGCAGTGACTCCTCGTACTGGTTGGTCAAGGTACTGCATGACCTTCCTTTATAAGCATGCCTTTCACCTGATCCCTTTTCATTTCTGTTGATCTACGTACTGTTCGTTCACTGAATCTGTTTTTGATGCTACATTTTTCTTACTTGTTTTATATATGTATATATGTATATATGTATATATATATATATTGAGTTTTCTGCCATCTTTATTGTAGATTATAACAGTTAACCCTCACCAACAACATGAGAAAAGTTAGTGTTTCAACTTTGATCAAAGTTTCTAATATTACAAAGTGTGTATAGCAACTAAAAGTGTAACACACTTTGTAGACACCAAGCAGATAAGACAAAGAGATTAATTAATGCCCTGATGGTTTTTAACACCACAATGTTAACTTGACTAATGGGAAAGCCCATTAAGCAGGGCTGACAGTGTGAATACAAAATACATTAGGTATGAATTATGTTATTAAATTACAATTACAAACACTGTCTCTCTATAATCAAACAACATTCCACTAAGCCACACAAAAACATTCACATCGCTCCTCTGTGATATTACCTGACATGATTCGATGGTATAGGAAGATATTTGACAATACTCATTTATCCTCAGGATATTAACCTCACCGATGCAAGAGGTCTGCAGCCAACTTGGCACAAATTGCCACAACAAATATTAACAATTTACAATGTTACAATGGCAGCCAACCAAATTCAGTCCACGTCCACACTGGGCAATGGGTTTTCCTATAATTATATGCTCTGACTAAAGAAAATGAGATAGATTTCTCTGGTAAATAGTCTGAAACACTTCAGGTGAAATGTGCAGAGCAGACTGAGATGAGTAAATGGATGTTTTAACCTTCTGTTAATATAAAACTGAATGACTGAAGCTGCTTCTCTGCCAGCAGACATGCTGTGAGACACAACATTCAGATGCTACAATTATCATAATGTTGCGGCTATAGGACAAGTCTTACTGGGACTGGAAGCAGTAAAGTTGAGAAGTTTTAAGCCTTCAGCACTAAGACAGCAGAGCTTAATGCTGCAAAAAAAAAGCATATTTTTCACGTCTCTCTCCTCTGAATCAGTGATGAACGAGTACTGTAATGGATCCCAATAAGAAATGGAACCAGCCAATGCATGTAGGCGTGTATGGCCTTTTGTGGATTGACTGATTGGTTGATTGATCATAAAAATGTTTCTGCATTAACCTGTGAATGTTGATAATTATTAACCTAAAATACATAAATGAATAGATCTTTCCTCAGAGGAAGCAAAGAGTGGGCTGATTGAGTTGTGTTTTGCATTAACTGCCTCATTGTAATGTTTTCATGCAGCAAATTGTGGGCTTTTCTGTCATGTTTTCCAAAATATGGTTGAAAATAGAAGTGTAATGAGCCGAGGGGTACAAAATCTTAGTATTTCAGAGACGTGCACTTACTTCACTTCAAGAGTGGGCTTCTGCGGATATGTGTATTTAATTGGGTGTCAATTCATTCCTAAGTGTTTCCTAGTACATTCTGGAGCTCCTGGACTTTAATGGCATAAACAGCCACGTCATGTAAGCACCCGTTGTCTGGACCTTCTGGTGGAAAAATAATGATATAACTGTTAAATATTACATAGAAAACCATTTGAAATGGAAATTCAATAGTTCCAGCAGTAGATCAACTGGATAAGCTTAATTTGTGTATGTGGGTGCTCGTGCCCATGCACTCATTAGGCCTATGTGTTTCTTTGCAGTCGAGCCATGAGGCTGTGGTACAATAAAAGGAGAGCTGTGAATCATTAGTAACAGAGCAGTAAGGTTAAGGAGACTGTCTATCAAAGTAGACACAGAATAGTTAAGATGCTTGAATGTGGGTGTCTGCATGTGGGTGGACACCAAGGTGTGTGCGTGCGTCTGCATTATGATTCAAGATTTAAATAGATAATTCACCTTGATGTTGCAGAGGCAGTTAGCCGTGATTCTTAACAGTGTTAACAATAATGCTTTACTGTTTAAAATTCCTGCTGGAAAATTTACTTTTTTTTTGCGTTGATCCTCCACAGGGAGGGTCTGAGTGCAGGGTCGTCTTCAGGTCAGCACTGCTAGAACTAATAAGGATTCAGTCTGGCTTGAGAACATTTCATGAGGGTGGATAATTGCCACATTGGGGCCATGAACTTGGTTCCCCTAGTTGAAGGATCTTTCTTGTCATTAAGCAACCATGATGTCCTAAGTTTCAAACTGAGCACATAAAATGTAATCGCTTGTTGTAGAAGTACTTCCAACTTTAGACTTTTATTTGAGGTTCCCTTTGACTTCATTTATTTTAAATGAGGATTTTATGATGTTTGTTTAACCTTGGCATGGCAATCATCCTTGTCAGTGAGTCAGATCCAGCGAACACAACTGCAGTACTGAGAAAGACTTGCTGGGGAGAAAATAGGAATAATAATACCACATACATATAATACCAATATTATTAGTCAGCAGTAGCAGCAGGTATTAAATTAATCGCTGTGTGATCTATTTTCCAGCATCATATTATACAACACTACTAGTGTAAAAAACATGGCCATTTCTTAATTACCTTCTTTAGGACATGAACTGTTTTATCTTTTTGATGAATCATGATTAAAGGCCAAAGGGATTAAATAGAAGGCGCCTCAAGATGAATTCAAATTCTCTCACAGCTGTTTAAATAAAGTCAGAAAAAACCCTCAAAAGTAGCCTGCAGGAAGTTTGACAATCACACTTCAAAATAAAAGCACAGGACCAAATCTGCAGCTGTATTCGAGTGGGGAAAGTGGTTATTATACAGTGTCCTAGGGGTCCTATGGTCTTTTTCAAGTTTGTTGTTTTATATTGTTATCTTTGTGAGCATAAGAAAATGTAGACTTAAAAAATGTGTGCACTGGCCATATCTTAAACAGAAGTCTGTATTTTTCTTGTATTTTTCTCACCTACACATTTAACAAATTATTATTTTATTACATAATTCACAGATTTTGTTTCATTTAATTGAGCATAATTAAATGTTTAAAAGCCTATTACAAGTTATCACAGCCCAGAGTATTTTTTTTTATAATTGTTTATATTAAGAACCAACAAACCTTATGTATTTCATTTTCGGGTGATATACAACCAAATACTTCTTACAACTGTAATCAGCAAATGTTTGGTATAATTATGACTTACACAAATTCAACAGTCCTCTGTATTCTTTTTTTCATCAATCATTTCAGCATGAACTAATTTAAACAACTATAACATTGGTCATTTTTTACTATGTAGCAACTCACATGATTAATAATGTTTGGAAGCTTTTATAAGCTTTTATAAAATACAGATATTTTTAGATTTAGATTTTATGTATAGGGAAATTACGTTTGTGTCATTCCTTACTCTTTTTTTTTTTTTCTATTCCAGTGGCAAGGATTTTATTTTGGCAATTGTGTCCGGATGTTGAATAGGTTATTGCCACTGGCTTGAGGTCGATCTCCGCTGCTCGCGACACAGCCGCACGCAGCTGCTTGTCATTTTTCCAGCGCTCGAGACGCAACGACGGAGAGAGGAGCTCGCGCCGGCTTGCTCCAGGGATGTTACCTGTGATGGACTTGATATAAGACCAGAACACGCAGTTTCTCTCTGACTGTGACCACTTAGCCGTTAGTTACAAGTGCAGTTTTGCGGGACACAAACTGCTCTAATGGTCTCAAGTGTTTTTTTTACCGCCGCTGTTTTTTTTAAATGTGTTTTATGTGTTTGCGCTCAACAGTGAGGTAGACTTATTCGGGCACATTTTACAGGAGCGTCGGCGTGTGACTTATCCCGTGGATGCGGCTGTCGGGGTCGGTGTCTGAGCCCTGCAGGACCAGCCTGTCATAGGGCACCATGATGTCTCTGGTTGCTCACAAGTGGATGAGGAATATTTCTCCGGAGATGCTGCTGTTGATGCTGATATTGTGGTTTTTACCTCTGACTGGAGCGGCTCCCTCTCTGACTACCGAGCAGCTGGACACGGGGGTGGTAAGTTTCTCTTTTCTACCTTACTTAAGGAGAAGGGAAAGGAGGGAGGGGGGACGGAAGTTTTTCTACCTGCTAGCACCGGTGAAGAGGTGTGTGTGTGTGTGCGTGTGTGTGGCGGGGGGGGGGTTGGTGTGTATTTTTTCTGTCAAACCCCAAGCATACCGTGGGGCCGTGGGGTGGCAGGGTTTTTTCCTCTGCTTTCTTGGGCTACTCTTTGGACGTCCAGGAAAAAGAGCAAGTGCTGTCTTCTCTCCGAATACTTGCTCTGAATTTTAACCACGCTCACTGCAGTCCAATGCACGAGGCACAGTGGCGGCACACACACTGCATGACTACATTACAAAATGTTGTGTATCCGAACTTTATTCACTTGATCAGGAGAGAGAAAAATAAATAAATAAATAAATAAAATCAATGCCTTGGACAATTTTCCTGTTATAAATAAATGTAGATGAAGGGTTTTGCCTTGGCGCTGTATCGACCTCTTTTACAGTATACTAATATATGCTGGGCTAATAAGACCAACCCATGAGACAATATAGGTTACATAAGGCCATATATGCCAAGTTCAGACAATTACTGTATTTAAAATAGAGGATCCCATAGTGTAGTTCTGTGGTGGAGCAGTAGCTAAAGAAATCCACTAAAACAGTCAGAACCATTGATGGAGAAACACATTGATTAAGAACTCAAATTTAAGCCCTTATTGATAGCATAGACTGTTGTTTGTGTGTGTGTGTGTGTGTGTGTGTGTGTGTGTGTTCAAAAGCTTGTAACAGATCACCCCAAAATATCTAATGATCAGTAAATTTAATAGGCTGTATTATCTTGTTTTGCTGGGAAATGAAAGAAGCCACACAGTCTGTAAAGTAGTCAGTGGCTACTCATCTTCATCATCATCATCATCATCGTCATCATCATAGAGCCACAGCATGTACAGTATGCAGTCCAAACTGAGGTGAGGGCAAGAGTTGTAAGTGATGTGTGTCTACTGTGTGTGTGCGCATTATCCCAATACGTGGATAGTACACTATGTAAAATATGAAATTTTTCAGAATTTCCTGCAAAAAAGTTTTCATTCTCAGGCTTGTAAAAACTGATTATCGTCTTCGTAATTTCATCCCCATTGAAGTGTCATTTTTCTACAATTTCACTCCCCAGGGCAACTTCAGTTTTTTCTTGCTGCTCATCCCAACTTCTGTAACACTGTTTTTCAGCGCTCACACACCTGTCTCTGAAAACCTACGCTTAGGGATTATGTTTTTTTTTTTCTTAAGAAAGACTAGAACAAGAGCACTAAAATAGATCAGTTTCTGTTTCTTTACTTATTTTTTTCTTCAAGCTTTTCTTCCACCTTGAGGCTGTGTACCACTGTTTTCTTTTTTTTTCTTACATATCTATCAGAACAGACGCTTTAATTGTGAGTTTGTGTGGGCCATCATTTGTAATCTAGCTTGACAGTGTGTAGGCAACTCAAAGAGAACTTCATTTTAAACAAATATTATTTAGGCTACTGAAATTTGAAGTTCCACAATCTAAAAAATAGTTATTTAGCGAAAACAGCACACACAATTCTCCCAGTAAGCTTTCGTTATCCACGTTTTCTATTACTCTGATATACCCAGACTTTCTGAGGCGGACTACCCTGACATCAGGACACGGTCTGCTGCACCTTAGCTCTGAATCAGTTTTTTTCTGGTTTTTCAAAAGGTCAGTTTGGCCACATCTGACAGGGTTTTCATCACAACCTGTACACACTTCCTTCCTTGCTGTGTAGCTTTGGTCTCAAAAATCCACAACCTTGAAACAAGGTATTGCATTAACCGAACAGCCCTCTCATCCTTGGACTTTAACTTGTTGTCTCCTTTCATTCTCCAGTCCAACATAAAGCTTTATCTGAGCAAGGGAAAAAAAAACACATTGCAGGAATCAGCTCATACATTTTCAATCACTGAAAAGACTTGTTTTTTGGTGTATCAGTCAGGTTACTCTTCTTCTTTTTCTTTCTTTCTCTTAGTCACATAATGTTGCGCCCATTTCACTCTAGGATGATTGAAAAAAGACACATTTGTCTGACTGTAGTGTGACAGACTTTTGACGGACAGTTAATGTCTTCATCAATGATTTAAAATAAAACCAAACACGTCTGACACAGTTATGAAAGTACATGACATGTGCTCCTGCGTAAAGATAATAGGTTTTACCATTGTATAAAGTTATGTACAGTAACTCTTGCACAAACTTTTTTCTTTCCTCTTCTGGAAAATTGGGCGACCTACGACACTATAAACACAGCTATATCATCAGATGAAAAGCTGCAGTAACAACAGCGATTTTCCTCCATTTACAATGGCAGAGAAAATGACACTCAAGGTGGAAGCTTCCCTGCATTTCTAGATAGAGCTATATGATACACTCAGTCCAAAGTGGTGTTGCAGCCTCCGTGCAGCCCTGTAGTCTGAGGCCCATTACTCTTGTTGTGATGTCTGGGAAGCCTCGCTCCACTTCATGTGCTAGTAAATGCAAAGCAACACTGCCAGTTCAGTGATGGATACCTGAAAATGTCCACATTTGTTCTATGGGCTCGCACTAAATATGCCTCTGGGTGGAGGTCAGATGGTTCATTCGGGTAAAAGGGTACCATTATTTCCCTGATGTTAATCTTCTTCCCACGGTTTATTTGTGCTGAGGGAACCCTTTCAGACAGTAATTTCACATTTTGTCAAATTGGCAGATTCTCTGAACAATACTTAGGCCTACATATATCTATATCATCTGCTAAAAGCCCCTATTGAGAATCATTGTGCCAGTGGATAGAAAAATGTTGAATCTTTAGTACATGTATGTTTAAAAGAAGTTTAATGACTCCATTGTCTTAAAGTGATGCTCAAAACCAAAATCCCTGGCATGGTGGTTGTATCATGTTTGTAGTTTCTTTCTTTTAGAAGAAGAGCTGCTTCAATAAAAAAGAAGAAGAAGGAAACTACGTAAATCCATAAAATAAAAACATCCATAGAAACTTCTCAAACCACCCTTGTAGCATATTCTACTTCTCTGCTGTGCCTTTGATACAATAATTATTTCAACACATTAAATGTGGCTTTATTCACCGCTTCTGTCAGAGTTCCTCGGTGGATAATTGTACATCATAGAGCATTAGCCGTAATGCGCTGGGCATTGATGTTAAGGTTGTCAAGGTGGAAGGTAGAAGACATGCATTCCCCGAGCACCACAGTATATTTCTCACATGTGTCCACACACTTTGAAAAATGCAGTTGAAAAGTTACTTGCTGTACTCTTAAGGTAACATGTAGGAACCTCATGTGCCTACAAACCATAAAGACATGAAAGTGCCTTTCAAGTTTATCATTTCCAACCAGTCTCCCAGCTTGACTAGTGCTTATGAGTAAGCAGGTGGACTGATCTTTGTACGGCGCCTGCAGGTCCAAGACAGGTCTAATGTTTCCTTCTTTTTTTTTTTGGGTGCCAAGAAGTAGCTGGAATACAGACTCTTTCTTGTGGCCTTAAGAGATGACATAGAAAAAGGATGTCTTTGTAGGAGCTCCTGGAGCTCCAGGGAAAGAGTGTCCTCCTGCCTGCTCTTCAGAGGCTACAACTGACTCCCTCAGTCTGGAGTGGAAGAGAACAAAAGTTAAGTAAGTGACCATACCATACTCTGAAACGCTCTGTTGTTGTGGGAATCAGAGCCCACTGCAGCACCTTTTTGGAGGATACACCTGATAAAGAGGAGAAATGTCATTTAGACATACGGTGCTCTCAATTACCAGAGAGATAAGAGGGTTTTCCTGCTTTATTCATTGTAAAAATAGAGATTCCCATGTTTGATCACTGATAGCAAAGACAATTTATCTAGACAATATAATCTAACTACAGCTAGTTCATCATGAAAGACAGGGGGAAGGTATCAGTGTAGACAGCTCCAATGATGATGATTAGTTGTTCAATGACTGATTTCTTGTCACTGGGGTGCAGCAGGGGAGCCAGAGGACACACAGAGAGCATCATTCTGCACCACTGGAAGGGTTATAAAATACAGATATGATCAGATGATTGTACACATCATTCTCTCTCCACAATGGATATATACTGTGTGTGTGTGCGTGCATGTGTGGGTGTGTGTCCGTGTGCGCTTGATCATAACTGCAATTCACTCAGGACTTGAAACAGAAACAATTCTCTGATTTCCACTGTGTCATTGCTCCTGTCCAGTCCCTTTACACTTCATTGCCATGGTGCTCCATCACTCGGCATTTAGTTGAGATAGCCGAATCGTATGTGTGGTGTGTATTTTTGTAACAAGCACACACACCACACAGTCCTTAAGTAACTCAACCGCACACTCAAGCACAGATCAGAGGTATTCATTTTATAGCTTAGCTGCTATCCAGTTTGATATATCACTGCATAGTGCCGACTTGCAATTTCAGCACTTGAGGGAACTGAGTCATAACAACTAAAATGTAATACGCTCTGTTTTTCTGCTCATCGTGTTATGTTCCTCGTGAGGAGCATTTTCTCTACTGAATCAGAACCACCGAGCTCCCAAAGGAACTATTCACCTGAACGTTCAGGGCTTCCCTTATGATAAGCCAGAGTGAGCTGACCAGATTAGCTGCTGATAAATTACCTAATTACTGTATATTCAGCCACCTGTGGAATTTTATTCATTAAAGAAACACGACCAATGATCCTTAAACCTTACAGACTGTGTGTGTGTGTGTGTGTCTAGAAGGACAACCACATCCCGCCAGTCCATTTCTCCCTCATTTTCCTGTTTAATTTCATCAATGACACCACCATCTGGCATCCCCCCTTCTGCTCCCATACCTCTGCCTCTCACTCTCCCTCCCTGCTAGACATCAAAATGACTAGTTCTTATCATGTATTGAAATTGTATCAAGGAGCAACGACGAAAAACAAGAACAGTTTATTTTCAGGAATATGAGGGAGGATGAGGTTTCAACAAAACGCCAGCGTCC